TATTCTATGATTTGACAGTGATTTCCAGGGGTCTGTTAAGTCTGAGATCCATGCTCACACACAGGGAATGGAAGTTAAGAACTAATATTCTCTAAGAAGAAAATTTAGCTACAAGCCATTTTTTGATTTTAATACAGCCACTGCTTACTACATTTACTATTTCTTCCAGACAGAACAAACAGAAAAGTTTTTCTTACAATTATATTAGAGAACATCGATAAGATTCCCAAAGCTATTACTAATCATAACCATTAGAAGAATATTGTGTTGTTAATGACAAATGTTCATTTCTTTCTTCTGTTAATTTTGTTTCCTAGCCCCGTACCTTACACACAGACTCAAAGTCTCCCTGCAGTTTTGGTCTTTTTCCTCAGCCCCTACTTGCTTGCCCTGAGAGGACCAAGGCAAGTGACTTGGTGCCCTCCAGCTTCATGCCACATTTTCCACCCAAAGGCAGCTGCACACCCAGCAGCCCGCCCAGGCCACAGCCTCTGCTCCCCGTGCTTCATAGTCACCTTTTGAAGACTGTCACTGAGAAGTGATGGATCAAGGCAGGGAGATACCCCTGAATCTGAGTATCCTCTCTTGCAGGAATAGTTAAATATATGCTGAACTCAACACAGCACATGTCAATCACTTTCAATATTTCAAGAAAACCATTCCTCTTTCACAGTCAGTTGATGAAACCTGAAATGATGGCTGCAACAACAGCTGTCAGTTTTAAAGTTCTTTTGATGTAAAATGCATTGACACCTTCTCCTGAATTAAAAAAAAAAAAAAGAATCGGGGTGGGGGGAATATTTGTCTTTTGACTCTCAGATGAGCACAGAAACAAAAGCTTCAGTCTCTCCAGCAACTGTAACTAAGGCATAAATTCCTTTTTATTTTTAAATGAGGTTTGTGTTTTATATTCAACTCACAAATAATTTTACTATATCCTTTGAATGCTCAGTTCTCAGATTTATTTTCTTGCTGAATTCTTCAGCATTCCCATAAGCTTCTACTCCCCTCAACCCTTCCTTTCACTTTTATTTGAAAGGCAATTTTGTTGCCAAGTTCAACCACAACTTTACTTGACAGGTCCACAGAGGCCAGGAGCCAGTGTACAGAGTGCTGCAGTTCTCTGAACAGGACCAGTTACTAAGATGCGTAAGAAATGAAAGATACAGAGCCAGACAGGAGCACAAAAGAATCAAACAAACCCTATCCCACTGAAACATTAGAAGATGGATGGATAGCGGTCACACTTTTCACAAGTATACAAAAAGCATTACAATAAAAGTAGAAGTTCACCACAGTCAAAGGCAATATGGGTGAAAGCAAAAGTGTTCATTTTCAGGTACTTATCTAGCAATTACTTTTGGCTCGTTCCAACTTTTGGTAAAGAAGCAGACAACAGGCTTGCTAGTGATCAACAGGCACAATCTATACAAGTCCTAAAGAATCACTCACATTTTATGGAAGATGCAGGAATCAGAGTAGCAGGATTTAAAAACCAGTATCAGTACAGGCTAGGGGTTGAAGGGATTGAGAGCAACCCTGCAGAAAGTAGGTATTGCTGGATGAAATGCTGGCACAATGAGCTAGCTAAGTGCACTCAGCCCAAAAAGCCAACCGTAACCTGGGTTGCATCAAAAGGAGCATGGGCAGCAGGTGAAGGGAGGTGATTCTGCTCTGCTCTTGTGAGACCCCACATGGAGTACTGTGTCCAGCTCTGGGCTCCCAGTGTAAGGCCATGGCCTGTTGAAGCAGGTCCAGAGTGAGGCCACAGAGATGATCAGAGGGCTGGAGCACCTCTCCTATGAAGGCAGGCTGAGAGAGTTGGGATTGTTCAATCTGGAGAGGAGAACCCTCCATGGAGACCTTATTGTGGCCTTTCAATACCTAAGAGTCCTACAAGAAAGAAGGGGACAGACTTTTTAGCAGGGCCTGTTGTGACAGGACAAGAGGCGATGGTTTTAAACTAAAAGAGAGTAGATTCCGACTAGACATAAGGAAGAAAACTTTTACAACAAGGGTGATAAACACTGGCACAGGTCGCCCAGAGAGGTGGTGGATGCCCCATCCCTGGAAACATTCAGGGCCAAGTTGGACAGGTCTCTGAGCAATGTGACCTAACTAAAGATGTCTCTGCTCATGGCAGAGGGGTTCAAACTGGATGACCTTTAAAGGTCCCTTCCAGCCCAAACCATTCTATGAATCTAAGGAAATAAAGGGAATGGTGATGCAGTCACAGTAGCAGACTAGCAAAATTACCCACACAGACTCTGGGTAAAGGCAGGGCAGTATTACAGCCAGAATTGAGTCCTCAGCAAAACAATAATACAGAAATCAGAACAGGATGGATGGAGTGTAAGTTACATTACCTTCTTACTTAAGCACTGTGGTGACAGCACACAGTCCATAGCATTAAGACCTAGACAGACTAGATGTAAAAAATGAAGGGGAAGAGGAATCCTCTGTCAGTGATTACACCTGGGGATGGCACTTGAGCCACAGGTCCTGTATCACACAGTGGCTCTGCTCTGTACCTGGGAAATTTGCTATTGCTACCAGATGTCAGGCAGACAAGTTATCTGTTGAAGCACTTAAACTTCCCACGTGTGTTCTACATACTCTCCTGCTCTTTTTACTCGTATCGAAACTATTGTATTTTCTTAGTTCTACATTTCCTAGAGACAAACATGTTCTTGCACACTTTATCACACAACATCCAGAGCTTTTTACATATAGCTTTTCCTTTGATGCTGCAAACATAGTTTTTCAGCCCTTCTTCTGACAGGTGAAGGAATACAGGAAGTCAAAACATTAGCTCTAGCAGTGACAGGTTAGATTCAGGTAAAGTGCTGCAAAGTAAATGCTGACAATAGTAAGCAAGCCCTGTCTTGACCAAGCCAAAAGCAGCCAAAAAGGTGGGAAAGACACAGAAAGGACACACCAGACAACTGCTGCAGCATTGAAATGAACAGCCAAGGGTAGGAGTAATCTTGGTTTTGCCTGTATCTGGCACTTGGTAATATATCTCTTCTTTTTTCTTTCTTTCACACTTCAGTTCGACCACAGGAAATCTACATACTAAACAAATTACAGGTCTGCAGCATTTAATCCCATTCACTTCAATCAATCCATCTGAGGATGACCCAATCTATGCTAATGATCATCCAAAGAGAAAGTTCCTCTCCTCTCTCACACCATTTTCTAGGTTCTTGGCTCACAGCAGCAAGCTCTTCCCCCTTACCTAATTTTAACCACAGCTTTGGGACTCACTGGACTTCATCATCAAGTTCAACCTACCAACTGGATGGCAAACTAATCTGACAAAACCAGACTGTTTTCCTCACAGGTTAGTGATTAGGAGTGGTTTAGCCACTACCAGTACTGCAGGTACCTGAACCAAGGAAGCAAAGAACTACACAGCAAAGAGCTGGGAAGAACAAAGGTTTTAATTTCAACCATGATGGGCTCTTTTCCCAGGACTCACTGTCTCATGGGGTAATTCAACTGAAATGTCAATCAATCCCACCTTCCTCCCAATGGCTTATGGCTCCCTAGTCAGTACCAGCACTACTTCTCACAGGACTTGCTTCATGACCCAGCAGGACTCAGAGCAGCAGAGAACACCCTGCTCTGCCTCACAGCCTTTCTTACCATGCTCATGAGCCAGAGCTGCAGTTTCACCTCAGTGGCACACGGATCCATTGAACTTGCAAATCTACTTTAAGCTTCGTGGTTTACAGTCACTAACTTTTTCACACTTACCAGAGTATTTATGCTGTCATAATCATTTCCTAGCACATATTTATGCCTTCAAGTGCTCTCTCTCCTATCAGTGACCCACAGAACAATTGCAGAGCTTCCAGTGTTGGGTACCAGTTTTACTTTAAACACAAGCAAGTGGCAATAGTAACAACTTCACTACCTGAAATCCAAACCTAGTACAGACTAAGCTCATTATTCTTGCAGTTTGATACACAATGTAACAAAACTAACATCCATGTGGCAATAATAAATCCAGACACATGGAATGAACCAGTTCATGTGAAAACAGGGGTGTGCTTGAATATAGCACTGAGTGGCTAAAATAGTGATTAGCACTGATTCAATACTCCCATTTCACATTAGCAGTAAGTAAAGCAACGACTGAGGGCCTCATTTGACCTTAACTGTTAAGGACGTTATGTCAACATTTGTATAATCAAGCCAGTGCTCTGCTCTGACATATTAAGATAAAAGCTAGAAGTACCTCAAATAATGAGATCTTTATTTTTAATTACCCAGTACCTTTAGGCAGCAATTACAATTAAAAAGACTACAAGAGAAATCTGGTTGACCTCCAGTTATTTCAATACTTGAGAGAAGCAAGAAAAGGGCAGGTTTGAAGCAAGTGATGCCTGTTCAATTCCTAACAGAGGTAACTTCTACATGCAGTTCTTAAAGCTCTTAATGGTCCTACATCAATGCAACTTTATGAATCTGGAGTGATGAAAGAACACAGAAATTTAATTTGTAGTTACTTTACAAATTAAACACAGCTTAAAACATTACCCTACAATTTTATGCATTTCTTTAAGAAAACAAATTTTTTTGGATTATACATGAACATTTTTTGAAGAGCAAAAAAGTGAATTCAATTGCTTTAAAGGCAATATTAGCCTTACAAAATGATTTTGTGTGTATCTGTATAAATTTGCTTTTAACAGAGCACTGACTTTCTCTATTATACACACAATCTTCTCGTCCCCCAGCCCCTAGAAAGGATTCTTGCCATTTCAATTGCATCAACATAATTATCAGACCATGCCCCTGATCTTCCCCTATTGATGCGTATCATGAATCCCATACAGTTCCTGTCTATGTCCAAGAAAAGAGTTAAGTTTCTAGCACATAATGAGAATAATCTCTTTTACTACAGGTACTCTGAGTTTTAAAATAAGATGCCTCATGTAAGATTAAGGTAACACACCATCAATTTAACCACGTTCATCTGAATGTAACCTTACCTCTAAATATATCGACGGTGGGTTATGTTCTCCTCCAAACTTGTCTAGCAGTGCCTCTATGTGTTCTTGTGTCAATTTAATCATCTGTTTGATGTTCCACACCTAAAACAGAAAATTTTACTTTTTAATAAAAGCAGCCTACAGAATCTTTCCTAAAACAAACCAACAAAAAATGCACATTTTCTTGACATTTAATAACAGAAGTCCATAATAAAGACATTTTAATCATCAATAAATGAGTGCAAAAAGCAGTGTCAGTAATAGCTTGCTTCTCAGAAAAAGAGAGAAAAATTACATTTGGTTTTAAAATTCAGGACCCATTGAATAAACAGCTTCTGAGAATGGTTTATTTTTCATGTTTATCAAAACCATATCAAGTATTTTCCTTCTAAGACTTTGCAACCCAATTTCTACAAAGTTCAGTGAAGTTCTTCTATTTAACCTTAAGTAGTCCATGTAAACAACACACAAAACCTAGACCTACTGTTCTGTTTCCATGGGAATAGGATGTCTTGACCTGGAAGAGCATCTTCTAAACCTCAACTTCTACACTCAGCCTACCCTGCAAGGTACAGGCCTGGGACATGATCTGAACAAGACGTTTACCTCTAGTGCAGAGGGATGACTTATGACACTGTACTATGAAAAAAGCTCATGTTGCTACTCTTCACAACATCTTGAGAGTTAATTTCAACACTTGGAGACTACTGTAGGTAAACAGTACTATGAATCCTAATTTATACCTTAAAAGGCAGCAAAGCACAAACCCAAACCATTAAAGCAATTATACTACACAAGCACAACCTTGTTTCTCTCTTCCCTTACAGTAAAGATATCAAATTACAAATATAACTGAGCAGCTGCAATATGCACAACTGAGACATGTTTTTAGGAGATATTGGCAAGACAATCAAATAGCCCCTAACAAGGGCAGAGATCTTCCTGCTAAGTCAGTATCATGACAAGAGCAAAAGCTGAGTGACTCATTTAGGCTGCCCAGAGAGGCTGTGGATGTCCCATCCCTGGCAGTGTTCAAAGCCAGGTTGAATGGGGCTTTGAGCAACCTGATCTAGTGGAATGTGTCCCTGCACATGGCAGCAGGGGTGGAATCAGGTAATCTTTAAGGTCCCTTCCAACCCAAACCATTCTATGATTCTACGACAGAAGAAAATGAAAAAAAAATTTAAGCTTACAGCCAGCTGCCAGGCTACAGTAAAAATGTCTTCACCTGAAGAAGGTGAAATTAAAGTCTAATGGAAGACAAAATTTCTCAGAGGAACTGAAAACATTGCCCTGAATTACCTACTATACATCTGTGCAATAAACCAGGAGCCTTTCCATGAGTGAGTCTTACAGGCAAACTTGATATGGATTTCTATAACCTCAGAAAGGCTACTCACACAGTGAAAAGCATGCTGAAGGCAGAAGGAAATTTATCAAAGTCAACCATAGCAACAAATAATTACTTGTTGCTCACAGAAATGGAAAAGCTATTTTGTGTGCCATATTCATCAAAAGTCTTCTGACAAGCTGAAAAAAACTTTCACAAATCTAGTGCTGACTAGCATATTCCAGCCCTAATCAAGTACGCACAAGAACATATATGCCATCAAATTTCCAAGCTTCTCAGTTTCCCTTTTAAGTGACAACTTCTACTTATTTTTACTTAAAGACAAGTTACCTTCTGGCCTTCCACATCTAGTGAATATGCTTACACAGTTTTTTTGGCTCCTTGAGACTCAACCCCTGTGCAAGTGTATTGCATCCTACTATGCAGGATCTATGGCTACATCAATTCAATTGGAGGAACTCAAGTCTTTTCCTAACTTGAACTCAGAACAAGTGACCTCACATGACTCAAAGTCTGCTGCTGCCCACCACAGCACCCACAGCTTCTGCCTCACAAAACCTACACCAGGCCTGTTGCACTTACACAGCCAGCAGAGCCAGCAGCTTCAGCCCATCCCTTCTCCTTGCAGCACTGCTTGTGCAGACAACTCAGCTAGGTTCGCATCGCGTGCACCACCCCAGCTTGACAGACTTAAAACCAACATATATCCCCACAACTGCTGTGGAAAACCCCCCAAACATTGGGTTCTTCAGAATTAAATCTGTTCAGCAGCACTCAGATGTGTAGGTTTCTTTAACCTGTCCAATAAAACCTAAATGTACAGAAACTTATCTCACAAGTGTCTCATTCCCCATAAGTACACACATCCCAGGACAGCAGCAAAGAAGGCAGGAAAAACATGACATATAGAATCCTTTTAGCAATCAGTTCTGCACCAAAGAGCTTGTTCCTACACAACAGAATCACCCCAAGTTTTTCAAGATCTCACAGTAATTTCTTTATCCACTCTTTATTCACACTTCTTCTAGAAGTAAAAGAAAACTGCAGAAGCCTGATAGTTACTGAAAAAGAACACGTTTTTCTTTTTCTTATGAGCACTCCACTGCACTTATGAAACTCCACACCTGTAGGAAACCATAAAACCACAACTGCCAAGTACCTTAAAGAAATACAAAAACTGATGCCAGCCTAAGACACAGTTGCTAGAAACTTAATGCACCCTGCAGTGAATCTGCAGTGCATCTGGTACTGTCCACATACAAGTCTGGTCCCTTTCCACAGGAAATGGCACAGGGATTTGAGACACATCGTTTCATTGTAGTTCCACGAAAAAGTAATGAATCCTTTACAGCTCAGATAACCTTATCATTTTTCCAAAAAAAGCATCAAATAAATGTTTCTGTGCTATCTGGTAGCATTAGGTTAAGGTTATTCTCTATCACAAGAGATTAGATTTGATTCTCCTTTTGGTGCTGCTGACACAAGGAAGCTGACGCAGGCGAACACGGACACAGGCAGCCAGACGACTGGAAATATTCCAGATATACTGGAATATATCAACTTGAATCTGCCTATTGTGGATAATTGTGCATTAATTTTGCAAATAAGCACTCCCTTGCAACGCAATAAAGATGATGACCTATTTCAAGCCAGAGGCAAGTCAGCTACAGTAGAAGCCTAAATCCATTCTACTTGGGAAAGACTATGGCTCCACAAACCTGAGGCTCTAAGCCACAAAGGTACTTTCACATCCTTTTCTGCTTGGCAAAATGTGCAGTGTCCAAGACAGCACAGAGCAAACTTATCTTCTGTACTTTTTGTACCTGGAATCAGCACTCAAATCTTGCAGCACATCCCAGCTCTAAGCTGTATGATTCCTATTTGGTAGAAGACACCTGAAAGCACAATCTATTCTGTAAAAAACCAAACAAAACCCAAACCATTATTTGTCCAGGCACAGCATGTCCTCCATTTGGATTATCACACTTGGTGATGATGGAGAATACTTTGATAGAATCAACAAAGTAATTACCAGAACTAAAAAATAAAAGCATTTTATTTGGAAATTGTTTTCTAAGGAGGATAAAATCATCAATACCTATCCAATATTATTCTAATCAGCCTTTTCAGGCTTCTTTTTTACACAACCAATTCAATTCTTTGGCCACTGAGATAGGATCCACTTGGTTAGACAAGGCTTCAGAAAGCTGTCACGTATGAGATAGACTAATGTCTTAACTCACTTGAAAGCAAAGTGTTTGGGTGCAAGAGAGGGAGGAAGACACAGGAATAGGGTTCATACCACAGCACCCCGACCTCAGCATCTGCATGGCAAGATGCAGAGTTTGTCTTTCTGAGCTTCTGTGCTCAAAAATCTCTGTTACCTATTTCTTGCATTTTGGTACCTTTCCTTCAGGTGCTTTCCCCCCCTCTTACATTTTGAATGGTGCTAGTCCTCCTCTTGCCTCTTACACAGCTTGATTTTCATTTTCTGTAAGCATCTGCTGGCACATGTACATACAGTGGGAAGGACAGTCCTTTCCTTTTTCCTGTACTCCAGGCTCTAGCTCTTCTCTATCTCTCAGTGGAAGCTTCTCTCAACTTGCACATCCACTGTTCAACTTTTGGCATTTTTCCTACTCTCTGCTGGCTCTTCACGCTTACCACATCTTTGACAGCATAGTTAAACTTTTTATTAAACAAGTGTGAAAACACAGCTGAAAAACTGCACTGAACTGAAAACTGGCTTGCAATGGGTTTCACAGAAGAAGTCACACAAGTCACACCAGGGCTGCCTTTCCCTGTTTCTATTTCCCAACTTTTTATTCATCTTAGTGAAGCTTTTTCTAATCACAGCTCCTTCCCAATGTCTGAGATACAGACTTTGACAGTGTATTTCCATTCCTGGCTATCTATACCCTTGGCTACTTTGAACTAGGAAGTTCAAAATGAGTCTGGTAAAATTTACAATGACAGACTCGTAAATAAGTTACAGACAACAATATCTACAGAGGTTTCTGTAGGCCAGAGAAAAATGATCCATTATCTCTTTTTCCATAAAAGTCTATGACCATCTACTTCTAGAGGGACGAAGAATGGCCTGGGTGAAGATGTACAGGACTATGTTCAGGAAGGAAAATCCTCAAGAGGTACAACATTTTTTGTACCATCCTGTCTGACAACTAGGATCATAACTAGGTCAACTAATGCAGTAATGTGATCAGCAAGCACCTGCTGTAAACACAGCAGTTAATAAAATATTAAAAGGGTTTCAAGATGAAAACTATTTTCCATTTAACAGGCAACACTTTTTAAGAAGGAAAGATTAACTTGTAACCAGCAATGTAGGCTCCAAATGCCTCTGTTCTGACACTGTTCCCACTGAAGAAAAAAACCCAACCCACCAAAACCAAACACCCAACAACTTTCACCCTTCTCCAAAGAAGTAGGAAGCATCTGACCAAGTTAACACTCAAGCATCAGAGTAACATCTCTGGGGAGTTTGCAGCAGAAACTCTATTGACAAAAAGCAGTGGCAGACTAACTCACTAACTCTGTGATTAGAAGACAAACACTTCCCATAAAAAATTGCTTTCTTTTCCAGAGTACTTCCACCACACAAAATCTGGTTAATGCTAACACTTACCTTCTACTTGATGTTCTTGTACCTCTCGTTTCCTTGTAAACCATCAGTTGCAACTGAGAGTAATCCATGTCTTTTCCTTTCATTAATTCTAAACACAACTT